AGAATGTTTGCATATATTTAAATACATGCAGCAGCTGTTCTACAACTCATCAGATTGCTGCCACAGTGGAAACAGAAGAAAGTAGACAGAAAGTCTGTTTCAATTAAAGTGCTGAATATAAGGGTGTAAGATCTATGAATAAGATTAGAAAAGTGTGATAAGCGATGTCCTGAGCCTTCAGTCTTCTGAACTATGTAAGTGTCACAAATTCAAAGAACATTTTTGGATATGCATTCCATGACATCTACTATGGAAAAGAGGAATCTCTCTCAAACATTTTCATAGCTTTGACCAATGACCTATCTTTTGTCCATATCTTGATCAGTCAGTCACTTCTGAATAGACACTGAACATCACTGACCACCTGTATTATCAAAGAGAAAAGAAAGAAGAGCTACTGTGCCATAGTAACAAAAAGCTTGTGCCAATTAGAGACGAGAGTGCAGTACCTACTTTTTAAACACTTGCCACTTATAACTGACACACACACACACACCACACACACACCACCCTCATAATGTTTCCCACACAACAGAGGTTTGCATAAGATCAAGGTTCTTTATGCCAGTGTTTTCTGCAACTATTTTCTGAACATATTCATTTTCTCAATGAGTTAGATAAGTCATCTGGAATTGAAGGATTTTTTTTTTCCTTTCAGAACTCCTGTCCAGAGGTCCCATTCATCATGTGTATTGTGGTAATTTTCACCCAGGTTTCCTGCTGTCTGTGTGCATCTCAACCAGGCAGACTGGGGACAGCAACTGGAATGAATATCATTCATTCAGGGAGTTCAACCAGGAGAAGGAGAAGACGTGGCGAGCTGGCTCAGAATCAGCTCCACTCCCACTCCCCGAGGCTGCAGCCTGTCCCTGGGGAGAAGGGACCTCAAATCCAGTCTGTAATAGAAAAAAATGTGGATCAGAGGAAGGACAGGGAAGATCTTTGGGAATTGGTCCAGTCACTTTTCTACTGAGGAGAGAGGATGATAATAATAATAATAATTATACAGAGCATAATTATTATTAGGGACAGAAAGCAAGTTCAGGTTATCTTGGCTTTGGTCAAGAGCCACGAAAGTGATTCACACTCATGATTCAAAAGGAATAACAGTAATGCATGCAAAGGGAGGAAGCTCTTGGGGGAAAGGGTCCAGACTGTTCTACTTTGTTTTTTCAAGTCACTTGTGCATGATTTACTAAAATGAAAGTATCATTGATACATATAGACATCTAGGTTTACAAAAATTCACATGTCTAATTAAAATCCTGTTGGGGTGTAACTCAATCTCAGTGACAGAATGTTTGCCTAGAATACATGAGGTCCTGGGTTCCACTGTCAATATCATGAAAGAAAGTGTGAGAAAGGGAAAGGGAGGGGGAGAACCCTAACTGAAATAATGTTGCTATATCATATGACACTGCAAGGCACACTAACAAAATCTCTTCATTGCTGAAATAAGTTTCTAGTAGATGACACACACATACACACATATGTCAATTAATAATAGGGGTATATTTCCATAAAATGCATCTTTAGGTGATTTTACTGTTGTATGAGCACCACAGTGCACTCTCATGACCCAGATGGCAGCAGTGTGACCAGGCCATACAATCTTAAGGAACCACCATCATGCATGGAGTCTGTCACTGTCAGAAACATTGCTATGCAGCAGGTTATAGTTTTTTTTTATTTTATTTGTTATTTTTATTTTATGTGTATGCATGTATTGCCTGCATCTAGGTAAGTGCACCCATGTCGTGCAATGCCCGCAGAGGTCAGAAGAGGCTGTCGGATCACCCTGGGACTGTAGTCATGGACAGTTGTTAGCTGCCATGTGGGTGCTGGGATTCGAACCCGGGTCTTCTGCAAGAACAACCAGTGTTCTTAACTGCTGAGCCATCTCTCCAGCCCCAGTATTCTTAGAATAGTTCTTGCAAAACTGTGGGCTTAGTGTTGAGCAAATCCTGAAGGGAGTTTTTCTTTTATCTAGGCAATAAAATATAACATTTATATAAAGTAAGATCTATTATCAATACTTCTAGAGAGATACTTTTTATAAACAGCTGACAGGCACAGCTCATAAGTTTGAGTGAATTTATCAGCCCAGTATCATAAATGAATTTCATGTTGTTTTGAGTTTTTTTTTTTTTTTTTTTTAAACTTAATGAGGGACAACCATAAAGGAAGACTTACTGGAATGAAATTTGATATTACTAACCCAAACTGTACATTTAAAGGTACCATGCTGGCCCCAGAGAAAATGGACAAACACACTCTCATGCTTCCCTTGTAAACTCTCCTCATTCTGGAATGCCGCCACGTTTAAAGCAATGAGGTAGTGAGATAGCACATGCACTCAGCACAACCCTGGGTGACAGTGAAGCCCAGGCAAAGCAGACCTTAGTATACTTAGTTTTTAGAGAAAAATGAATGCTTGGCCTGTACCTTAGCAGACTTTACACTAAATATATGTTTGGGGTGACATTTAAAAAAATCAATATAATTGTAGCAAGTCATTTCTATTTGAAGATGATCTTTTGCTATCAGATTGTTTCTTGATAGGAAGTTGAGAAAGGCCATGAAATCATACTAGATTAAAAGTGAAACATAGTTTCCTTCAAAGAAAAAGATGGAAATTTCAAGTGAAATTGAGCTTTAAATAAATAATGTCACTAGATTCTCCTGGTAATGGGTAACACATCCTTTGAAATTAAGGTGGAGCCAGGTGTGGTGTGGCACATAGTGAGGCAGGAGACACAGAAGTTCAAGATCATCTTTAGCCACATAGTGAGTTTGAGGCTAACCTGAGCTATCTAAGACCCCGTCTCTAAATAAATAAATAAATAAATAAATAAATAAATAAATAAAATTCTCCTGGTAATGGGTAACACATCCTTTGAAATTAAGGTGGAGCCAGGTGTGGTGTGGCACATAGTGAGGCAGGAGACACAGAAGTTCAAGATCATCTTTAGCCACATAGTGAGTTTGAGGCTAACCTGAGCTATCTAAGACCCCGTCTCTAAATAAATAAATAAATAAATAAATAAATAAATAAATAAATAATAAATCGAAGAAGAATAGACATTGTCTTGATAGAATTCTATGCCTGTTTACACATGTCAAACTCTTCTGCCATATTGTCATTTTACAACCCTAAAACAGAACATGGAAATGAAACTGCTCAGCTGAGCATCAGTGAATAAGATGCTTCCCTGACCATTTTGGACGAGAACAGTGTATTCTGCCTGGACACTTGGAAATCTCTTTCTTGAACGGAGTTCCTACTCTAGAGGAAATGTCCGTAACAACTGAAGATACCTAGAAGGAGAGACTAATAGAGCAGGAGTTTCCCACAAGTACTATAATCTTTGAGGATTGCTGAGTGGCTAGCATGCTGTTTGAGACTGCCTTGGAATTGGCTTCTTTGTGCCTTTGTGTAATAAAGATTAAAATCCATTTGCTGTTTACAATTTTAGCTGCTGATACCTGATAACCTTCAAAAACAGGTTAAATAACTAGGATTTACTGCTCTTGCACTGACCACGTTTCCAGGCAATTATCTGATTTTTAAAAAATCTAAGTTGATATTCTCTTTTTCAAAGATGTGCCAGAAAGGACGCCAAGACCAGAGATCACTTGGAGAATCTCCAAGGATTATTTGGCTCCTTGTGCTGGAAACTCATTAACCATCAACAGCAATTTCTGTGTGGAGGCTTAGCTGAGTTTTGAATTCCAGACCAACATCTTAGCTGTATGACTTGGATGAGTATTTCACCTCTTTGAGTTGTCGTTTTCTCTTCTGTAAACATAGAAGTGAGATCCTACCTCACAGAGTTGTTGCAAAGACTGAATAAAGTAACACAAATGAGACACTTTGCATGTGTCAGATTTGTATTCCGTCCTTCCCTCCCTGCTTCCTTCCTCCCTTTCTCTTTTCCTTCTTCCCTCCATTCCTCTCTCCTTCCTTATACAGTGAAGAGAATGGTTTGGGGAATATTTATGATGAAATACATACAACATAAATAACCTTGATTATTGCATTTTCAACTTCATCTTTCCAGAACTGGATGTAATTTAAATGACATAACCCCTTTCGCATGTAGTAAATATGGTCAGACATGATGTTCTTCCACGCACCTCAAGTGGCCTAACGTTCTGTATGACAATCTCACACAGGATGAATAAAAGATTTAGAAACCTCCTTTCTGTAACTGCAACCCATCAAATCAAAAGCATACATTCTTCCCCAAATGGAATCTTGTATTATGTGTTTTGTCAAATACTTTTTCCAAAGTTGGTTCACCTCCACTGCGATGCATTTCTTGACAAGATGGATGTCTCTCAGATCAGAATAAAGTGCTGATTGTTATCACCTGCTTTGTTTAGTTTGCTATGTATAAAAAGGAGAACAAAAGGTTTCTAGTCCCATATTTTTTCAAAATTTTAACATTTTCCTTAGGTGGAAGTGACTGTCAACATGACTGGATTTGGAATCACCTGGGGAACACACCTGGATATCTCTGTGAGGGCATTTCCAGATATTTTTAATTGAGGAGGGGAGACCCAATCTGAATATGGCCAGCACCATTCATGGGCTGGGATGCCAGACTAAATAACAAAGGAGAGAGGAAGAAGCCAGCTGGCATTTGTTTCTCTCTGTTTCCCGATCGGGAATACAATGTGATAGCTGCCTCATGTTCTAGACACCATGACTTCCTTGCCATGATGGACTATACCTTCAAATTGTGAGCCAAATCATACGCTTTCTTCCCTAGTTAAGTTTCTTTTTGTCAAATATCTGGTCACAGTAACAAGAATAGTAGCTAATACCATGGCAAAACTGTACAGCCATCATTTGACACTGTACTGTAGCTAGAGATCATTTGAAAAATAAGATTTTTAGCATAAAATGAAACCAGGAAATGAAATAAAGAGACAAAAATTTCGCTCTGTCTCAACTCTTAATTTGGTCAACATTCACAAAAAGCCAGCTGAAGGAAATGATGTGCTCTTCCTCAGAGAATGAACCATTTTTCTTAGGTTACCTTGACTAA